CTGACCCGTCCCTGCGTGGTGACGGGACCCTCCGCCTGGGGCCCTTGACCTTCAGGGGTTAAGGGCTAACTCGGGCCCAGCTCCGCTGACCCGCACGCTGACCCGGGGGCCCCATTGTCGGGTGGAACGGCAGCGCCCCCAAGTTCCGCCCGCTGCCCGGCAACCTGTCTGCTCTCGTCCCTAGCAGTTGGAGGCACTCGTGCCCTCTGTGAGCGGCTCTGCCGTCTCGCACTGCCCACCTCGACGCGAGTGTCGAGTTCGTGGAGGAGGCGCAGCTCGCGCCCGCGACTGGTCAGTCAGGTGAGCGTGACTTTGGGGACAGTGGCCGCCAGGGGTGGTGCCACGGGCCTCCCTTGGCTGTAGGCGAGGTGACACCGACCCCCGAGGCCTGTTGGAGAGCCGGGCTCTGACAGCCTTCCCCGGCTTTCGTGTGAGGTGCTGCCCGCGCCGCCCCTGTCCTTGGCAGCAGTTGACGTAGAGCCGGGATACTAGCCAAGCCCACCTGCTCTGTCTGAACCCTGTCCTGTGTTTTGCTAGTGTTGAGGCCTTCTGCTGTGCAGCCTCTCGTGACTCTGGACACACAGCCCGCTGATGATCATCTGTCCTGCAGGGTGGGGCTTGGGCATGAGGCATCCCCCAATGTCACCTTGTCCCTGCTTCTCTAGTGGCTTTACCGCCCTGCGCCCTGGTTCTGGAAGCTTACAGGCCCTCCTGTCCCAGCTGCTGTTTTCCTTCCATGTGAGGGGGAAATTGAGCCCCTTCTTCTGGTGCCCAGTCAGATCCGGGAACCCCGGGGTCCCTCCACATGAGAGAAGGTCTCACAGGCACAGAGGTGGCTGGAGGTCAGACGTGATCCTTTCCTCAAACCCAATCTCCTATCGCCTAACTGGCTGGTGGTGTTGTCTAAGCTCGTTCACCAGCCAGAACCAGTTACAGTTAAGTGGATGGCATCAATGTGGGAGTTTCGTGTCCTGTGAAGGACCGGGTGTGACCTGGTCTGTGGAAGCTCCCAGAGGCTCGAGCCAGGGGCCTCTGGCCTCCAGACCCCCACAGTGGGGACATCCCGGGTTGGTGTGGCCCAGGGAGGAGCTACGAGGGCAGGAGCAAAGGGGCTTCTGTGGCCAGGAGCGCCCCTGACGGCTCTCTCAGTCTCCATGCTATTTCCCAGCTCCCCTGTCGGGGTCCCGGGGCTGAGCCAGTGGGAGCCCAGCTCTGAGAGCAGCTTTTCCTAACGTCACCAGCCATGAGACTCAGCTGTTAAAGTAGGCAGTTGAGTGGTTTTCAGAGTATTTAAGAGCTGTGCAACCTTCACCACTATTTCCACGACATTTCAGGGCCCCATAAGAACTCTCTTGCCTGTGAGCAGGTACCCCCATTCTCCCTCCACGAGCCCCTGGCGACCACCGACCCCTCTCTGTCTCTGTGGGTCTGACTATTCTGCACATCTCACGTGAGTGGAATCCTGTAACATG